ACAATAAGGACATTATATTGTTTGTCTAACACAAAATTCAGGATATTGTATTATAAACTCAAACCAACAATAAAGACATTATATCCTCTGTTGACCAAGTGTTATTTTTCAGTATCTAAGCAAAAACCATGTCAGGTTTTTATATGTATGGATGGGCTGGATTCTTTGTAATAGATGTCTGTGACTTGTCGGCAATTAATTTAAACAAGAAACAAACAGCACACAGTCCACTTGTTTGAAAATAATATATTAAAACAAGTCAAATGTATATCTACAAATGTTCATTATATTGTTGGTTATCACAGATGTATCCAGAGCTTTAAATAAATTTTTCTTTTCGACAAAAGTCCACACAGGTTTGTTTGCATACTTTAGAACCCAAATGACAAGATGAATTATTCTTCACTACTCTGTTGTTATAATACAATCTGCGATAATTTCACTTTAAAATCACACTATAACTGTTGGTCACCTCAGTTGTATCCAGAGTTTTAAACAAGTGTCTCTTTTTTCACCAAAATCCACATAGGCTGGTTCAATTATCTTAAAACACAATTGACAAGATAAATTATTCTTCTCTATTCGGTTATTACAATACAATCTGTGATAGTTCACTTTAAAAATTACCACTATATGCTCTTTATGACTAAACTCTTAATCACACAGTCTAGATTTATCTATCTATCAATCTATGTATAACTAGCTTTATCGATGTGTATAGATGTACACACGACAGAAGTCTTGAACATTCCACACACTACTAGACATCATGATGCAACAATATGTAATTAAGCAAGGAGAAAAATTCAGATAGTTCAAGTAACCTCATGTCAAATCACAACAAATGAACTACACAACGTATGATTCGGGCACAGTTACGTAAACAAACCTGCGATAAACTATCACTTCTAAAAATAACTAAATTTAACACTCATGCTATACTTAAACCACCTAAATCATAATACTCACATTACCTTAAACACTCTTGTATATCTAATAAACCAAAATTTTGAATTTTCTGGACCTTTTTTTAAGGGAGGCAAAGATCTGAGGGTATACCAAATAAAAGCATAAAATTTATCTCTGATATATTTGGTCAAATACCAAAGTATACAAAAGATACAATTCCTTAAGACAGTTTCAAGTTAGGATGACTCACTTGAGAAAAATGTCTCATATTCAGTAGAAATTAACAAATACAGCTGCATATTGTAAATCAACACAGAGAGAAATGTTTAGGTTTTAGCAATTGCTTTTACCTTTGACCTTTTTTGTTTGTTTGTTTTAAATTTGATTTAAAGCTGTTCAAGTGCTATCTGCACTAGCCATCCCTAATTTTGAAATGATAAGACTAGATGGAAGCAGCTAGTCAATACCACCCACTGCCAATTCTTGCTCTACTCTTTACAAACAAATAAAGGGATTGACTGAAACATTATAATGCCCCATGGCTGAAACAGCAAGCTTATTCAGGAAAGGATTCAAATCTCAACCATCAGACTGAGAGTCAAGGGTCCAATCCACCATGTCATTCCAGGCCTGACCTTGAATCTAATTCTTAAAACGTGTCATATGGAATAGCATAAATACTCATTTCAAGCATACTGCAGCTTCTTGAGGTATGTGACAGTTGAACAACAATGCTGTAGAAGCAGCTTGTGTATGAGTTGCTTTTCCAGGTAGAGATCACTACTCACGATATTGCATACTGTTGTCTGAGACATATGGAGGGATTTTTCCACAGAACTTTGTTTTCATGGATTCTTACTTATTACAGGATGCTACACTTTGCTTACAAGGGTTGTGGTATGACTTGATTCAGGTCTCTTTCTGGATGGCCCTGCTGCCCCAAGTTGATCCATGTTCCCTTGGTTTCCAATGCTGTTAATAACAAGAGATATTCCCATTTTGGAAATTCTAAATCCTTAATATGAACAAATACCCTTCCCAAAGACAATCAGTTTTTGGTGGCATAACATTGCATATGAAATGTCGAAGAACATTAAAACATAGTTCTGATACATGCCACTCCACTGTAACTGTATACTGACTGTGGTTGTCAGATAATGTGTTGATTTACATATTCAAGAATTTTTTAAATATAACATACTTAACCCTCTATATAAGAAGACATGTTGAGATTGGTTGAGTCTATAACAAAACAAAAGTCTGGTATCAACAAGTTTTAGCACAAATCTTTAGCTTTTCTTAATAACTGTGTTAGATATACACAACTATTTCAATTTAAGTTTAAAGCAAATGTTAAATTCAGTTATTTTTAGAAGTGATAGTTTATTGCAGGTTTGTTTACATAACTGGTTACGAATCATATATTGTGTAGTTCAATTGTTATATTATTGTGTCATGTTATTAGAACCTTCTAAGTTTTCTTGTTATTTCAACTTAGTATTATTGCATCATATACCTCATAGTGTGTGGAAAGTTCTAGGCCTCTGTTAAGCTATAAATATGCATCCAAAATGTAGTTTCGTACATAGATAGTTAGATAGATCTAGGCTGAATGATTGTGAGTTTGGCTATAAAGAGCACACTTCTGACTTGTTTTAATATATATTATTTTAAAACAAGTAGATCATGTTCTGTTTATTTATTGTTTAAATTTATCGCCAATAAGTCACAGACACCTACTGTAAAGAATCTAGCCTATACATAAAACCTGACAATTTGCATTTGCAATGATTGTGTTTTTAATAGGCATTTGATTATTAGTTCAACTTCTTCAATTTATAATGTTTAAAACATACTGCAGTTAATTATTTGAACTTAAACTGACAATTTCAGTCATTTCAAATAATGCAACCAGTAATTGTTTTCCCATTAAAACAATTAAATAATAAGTATATCTGTTGCTGTTTATACAATACTTTGTAGTGAGATGAATTTGACTATTTTCCACATCAATATAATATTTCTTCTTCTCATATCTTACTAGAGAAAATGACTATGCCTTCCAAAGTCTGCTGTTAATTTTCATGGAAATATGCTTCTAATACAGTTTCAAACTGTATGATCTGATGAAGAGTGCTAGCTCGAAATGTCATCCTTCTTTAAATAAAAATATATAAAAACTTGGCAATTGTTTAACCTATTATTTAAGTTTAAGCAAAATAACATGAAGCTGATGCCAAATAAAAATAACATTTAATGCCATGTGTAGCTGGGGTACTTTTGCATTGGATGAACAACATGTGTGCTACAGCTTCATATATTGGAGTGGCAGTCCATGCCATACTACATCTATAGCATAAGACACTGAAGAGAACCTTTAGTGGTTAAACCTATTGTGTTTGAAAAATTTGGTTTTATTGTATGATACACATCGATCATTAATTGTTGGTGTTTAGGATATCCACATAATGTATTTGGTTTTAAATGCTTATGAATTTGAAACTATGATAATTATTGAGCTACTTATGTGAACAAAGAATGCTATTTTATACTTGTCTAATGTTCACATATGGATACTTCATTGTGAGTAATGTACAAATATATGCAGTACACTCTTGGATACTGAATGCTCACACTTGAGAATGTATTATTGTCTCTATTAAATCCATTTATTTAGATATTTTGGTCAAAAGTAAGATAACTGCATATATCATGTATGATAAAGTAACTAGAACTACTTCATGAAATAAATTAATACATTATAAAACTAAATCCTAAAAAAGATTATAATGCACTGAACCAAGAGTAAATATGCTTTATAGATTATTAAAATAATAATTTTTGTGTATTAATATAACTGATGTTCCTTTGGTATTTCTTACTTTGTAATGTAAAACTATTAATTTTAAAGAAGACATTATCTTTATTCTTGAGTACTCCTAGAACAAAGTGTGTCCCAGCAAAACATTACCAGTGTATATGACATTAGCAGAATAACTGAGATAAATTTCAAGAACTGTGAAAAAAAAAAAAAGGTATATACTGGAACATCACCACAAGACTGCTGCATGTGAATTATTCTATGGAGTATGGTAAAAAAAACAAACTGCCAGTTTATTCTGAAATACACTGATATTACTTTTGTTAGAAGATGCTGCATTTTCAGCCTTATAGTAAATTCAGAAATTAAGGAAACTATTTTCTTACCCATTTCAGTCAACCTGACAGCAAGTTTGCGATAAACCTATAAAATTTAAATCAGTAACATGACAGAGTAATCATATAACATGAAATATAATGAATAACTAAAAATTATATAAAGAATACTTAAAATTATTCTAAATACACAAGTGATACATACATATATAACTATAAAATTTTTGAAACATGCACTAGTGGTACAGATAAAAAATACACATACCTCCTTTCAACATGGAATACATTAACATCATGAAAACAAGGTAGCCTAATGTAAGTATACTAAGACTAACTTCAAGAATATTGGTTCTAAACTGATAAGAATATGTTAAAAAATTTTGGACTTGTAATATGCAAGTACCACATATCTCACTCTTCTGTATTACAAAATTTAAAACTTTTTCTACAGTTCAAAGTTAAAACATATTAAATCCAGTTAAGGTCATGTGCTATAGTCAGCCTAGGGAGTCATTTTCTGTAGTAAGGTTGAATCACAGTTGTTATTTAATGTTTTATGGGATAACTACACTGTGCCCTACTTTATCTTAAGTATATGAGACTACTTGACTATTCAAACATAGGAGAGAGAATTACTCCCAGATTATTGTGATTCCATGTCCCAAACGATCAGCTACCCACAGAGGATATAATGTAAATACAGTTCTGGTATTTTGAAATAGATCTGTTTCTGAGAGGGTCACAGCTCGCAAGTGAAGTTTTACCGTTGTTTCCTGTAACTTTTAACCTGCTGATAGTATATGGCTCTTTTCTTTCAGTTAATCATCAACAATATTCACCAATCTACTTTATATTTTTGCTTTCTTTTAGTTAAACACAGATTATATATTTATTTCATTATTAACTTCAAAACCATCAAACCAACAGTCCCAACTAACAACTGGCTTTTTCTTTCAATATTAATAAAGGTCAGTAATTTTTTTTCCAATGAATAAAGCAATTATTTTTTTAAATTTACACTATACCTTTTCTCTTTTATTCCAACTGTAACAGACTGCTACACCTTTCCTTCTACATACTAGGTCCTTGAATTTCCAATTATTGCAAAGATTAGGTAACTTTGTTCTAGGTATATCCTTTGATTAAAATTACAATAGTTTACAACTAAAATGAAAAATTTGGTGTCATGGCCTAGAATCTAGATTTTATTGATGTAGGAGTCAATGTGTATGATCAATTCCTCCAGGTTATTTCTCTAAATGTTTTCAGTGAGATATATTCAACATATATATGCATCTCTGTAACCTTGAAAGATGTATAACAGAAAGCAAGAGAGCTAAACTGATCTGAGGGTTAGAGGATCCCCTATTGACTTGTAAGGGTTTCCAGACCTTCATATTCTTTCCATTAACTAAGACAACTGAACCATAGCCTAGTCCATCAAGAATCACTGATAATGTCAGTTATTCTCATTTAGATCAACCAAACTTGTGCATAATGATAGAAAGCCACCAAGAAGGGGTAATTCTGATCATGATTATGTTGAAACCTGATGGGGCAGTTTTCCATCAGGTTGTATTAATATATAGGGTGGCATCTGTGCTCCTCAAACCTTCACTAAATAAGCCTCTTCAAAGTGGCTAGAGATGAGCTGTAGTGGCATGTTGCCATTATATTGCCCAGTGTGTGATGTATCCTGAATCAGAAAGAACCTCATCTTTGAGCAGCATCAGGCAATGATGTCACTATTATAAGAACACATTGCTAAAAAAAATAAAAAACTGCATGAACTGGAATTTGATAATCAGCAGAATGTTCAAAACACAGCTACTAGAGAGGAGTCAATGATAGAGAACTAGAACAGATCATACATCGTTCAAAATGGTGATGAACTTTAAAGAATCAGAAGGTATGATCAAACCTTCGATCATAATGTTGCAGGGGTACATCAATCAGGCCAGCAGCATAGAAATGCAGATGAAAGCTTGTCTGTTTACAAAATATCAAGATGACGGACATACTGTTGCTCTAAAACCTTAACTTTCAGCCATGACAACAACCACATTCATCAGCAAAGGTTTTGATGATGAATGGATACCAAATACAAAGAAAGGTAAACTGTGAGAAGAGCAGTTAAAGGACCTCTATCTAACTTGGACACTACTTGCTATGTGCCAAGGTAAAGCATCACCATCACAGATTGGGGAATGTAGTGTGTAAGTAAGCAACAAATGGCAGCTGTTCAATTAATTAGGAGTACAAAAGTACCTTAGCATTGCTATGATCTATGAAAACACAGTGCTTAAGCTGTGATACAGTTAGTTCCTGAGATCTCTGAACATTACATTAAACTAATATTAAAGGATACCAGTGTTTATTTTACACTCCAACTAACCTGTGGAGAAGTTTTTAATACCTCATTCCACTGAGATGTAGAGAATTCATGTGCATTAAGTTGTTGTGTCAAATGTATAATATTTTCTATTAAAATTTGAAATGCATGTATTTCCTAACCATTCTGACATATAAGACACTTAAATTTACACTACATTAAACTATTATTAATCAAGGAATCATAAATGTCAATACATTTTTGACATGACAATACAGTGTGATAAATATATCATTTCAAGCAAATAATATTTCTAATTCTTAAGTTCAAAACCTAATCTATTCTTTAATATTATTTACATTTGTCTGTAAGATTGTAACTTCACAATGGAGGTTATAAATATTGCAATTAGAAATTTTAAATTCTGTAATGACCTCAAAACTTTGAGGTGTTCTGGCTTTAAAATAGCATTAGGGTAGATCTAAAAAAATTAATTTTGCATATTCAAATTGGTGCCCTGTCCATGAAAGTGGGTTTTCTCTGGGTTCTCTCCCCCCCCCCCCAGCAAAATTCATTCTTG